CCCTATGTAGCCCTAAACCCTAAACCCCATATAACCCTATCGACTGTTGTCAGGGCAACAAGCGGACCTTCGAGCGAAGCCTGCTCGGTGCGAACTTATTGCTGCAGTGCTTCCTCTTCATTTTCCTGGCGAAAGGCCGGTTCCACTGTAGTTCTATAGGGTCTATATATAAGGTCCCACTATAGTTCTATAGGGATTATATATAAGGTCTCTTTCGAGGAATATAGGGGAGTCATATAATCTGCCAAACATACGCGCTGTCACCTGGAAGGTGCATCTCCTAGACTGGAGTTCGGCCGGCATCTCCTAGCAATCCTCCACTCCTTTCTCCGGCCGCTTGGATCAGCAACATGCAGGGCTATGGGCTGCCAAGTGGCGGTGGTCAACTTTGTCTGCAAAACTTGCCAGCTGTCGGATGGTTTCGCACAGCAGGTGACAGGTGCCTGGCAACAGCACCAGTGGTTATTGCTGTGAGATTGATCTACTTAAGCCCCAAACTTGCTTGTTTTGCTCTTGGGCAGCAAGCTGGAAGACCAATCAGGTTGGGGGTGATCTTTGCAGTGCTGATCCTCGTCTTTGCGAGCTTCACCTCGGCGTACATCGTCATGGGCTCCTTGGTGCCCACTTACTATCCCCCTGTAATGGAGAATCAAATGGAAAAGAAAATGGAAAATGAAATGGAAACCCTAAGTCCCTTTAAGGAGTATATAGGGATATTATCCCCCTATAATGGAGAATCAAATGGAAAAGAAAATGGAAAATGAAATGGAAACCCTAAGTCCCTTTAAGGAGTATATAGGGGTATTATCCCCCTATAATGGAGAATCAAATGGAAAAGAAAATGGAAAATGAAATGGAAACTGGGGGAATATAGGGATTTAAGCTGCGGCTCGGGGATTTGAATTGTTCTGCTTCTTGCTATCACCTTCAATCCTTTGTTCAAGTCCTTCTATACCTCCTATATGACCAGGTAGTCCCCATACCACTCCCCATGACCTACAGGGGTCCCCTTCTGAGGACCCCCCTCGCCCATTGGAGCAGTGGGTTCAGACCAAGGCTCCAAGCTTCCCTTGCGGGCTCTCATCGAGAAAGTCTACCGGGGCCTTTTCCTTGCAGACGGTGAGGGTCTTGATGTCATGGAGGCAGGGCGCAAAAGTCTTGTGCGTTTGCAGTTTGCAAGCTTAGATGTAGCCACTTGCGCAGGGTTGGAGACCAATTTTGCAGCACCTTCCTGACTCAACAAAGTTGAGCGACTAAGACACTGTCATGCATTTCTGCAGGGCGAACTGCATGATGGCGAGCTGCAACCCAACAACCTTGACACATATATTACCCTGTTCTCCACGCTCCTCGCTCAATCGCAAAGCTTCAGCGCTGCCTGCTGTTCGTTTAATGTAGTGTCAGCATGTGATGAACTAACGCTCAGGTTCATCGTCACCATTTGCCTGCTGAACGTTTCCATTGCGGCCGCCCATTCCAAATGAAAGCTGCAGCCTGAGCCATGGCCCCCACAGCCTGTACTGAAGGTTTTCACCATGGAGTACGAAGCAGCCATCAAGGTGCCGCCGGACAATGGGGAGGGATCACAATACAAAATGCAAACACCAAGGTGATAATCGCTGACCTCTGCACCATGTTAAGGAGTCCTGGCTCCACTTCTGGCGCTGGCGAGCGCGCCTCTGCACTGAGGCCTCAGATTTCGATCCCTCAAGCCGTCGCAGAAATCGCATCTGCAGGTCCTCCTTTGTCCGCGCTGGCCTTGGAAGTTTGAAGCAAAGTGGGGCCTTTGCCCAGAGCGGCGGCGCATGGCCCAGTGGTTGGAGTGGGCGGCGCGGAAGCCTCCTGGCCAAGTTTTCGGAGTCTTCACCACATGCTCTGTAGGTCAAGCCACGGGCATGCGAAGTGCATTGAGTAAGGCTGAAAGAAGAGGTGATGCCCTTCATCCACGCAAGCCGGCTCTACCAAAGGCCAGCACATGCTCTTGGGATGTTGTAGGTCCGGTCGGTGCGACCGGATTGTATGGTTGAAGCAGGACATTCAACGTCTGCGGGTACCGAGTGAACTGGGAGCCTCTTTTGGATGAGCCAGAACCAGAGGCAGAGGATCACGATGCAGACACCTCACAGCAGATTAGCAGTCCTTCTTGCGCTCCTGCCGCGGCCATCTGTGGGAGTCAAATGATGCCGAATTTTTACCTTTTCGATTTCCTTTCGCCGCGCCTCAGCAGATTTCACTAGTTGCACGAGGCTTCAGCTAGTGTTTGATGCTTGAGAAGCCGAGGAATATGTGAGGATTGTGGGCTGGTTGACGTGCGCCGGCTTTCTGCTCTTGGGCTGCCTCCTCTTCTGTGCTGGGTTCCTGCATGCCCTCTTCCCGGGTTTGGCCTTCGGCTTGGCCCTTACAGCAATTCAGCTGCAACAGAGCAAAGTGTTCTCGCTGTGCAGCCTGGTGCAGAGCAAGGTACTGAAGTCAATTTGCGCCAGAGGACCCTTTGGGCTCTCTACGTGCCAAAGGGATTTCTCTTGTGAGGATGAGGATGACGAGGAGCTGAGCTGTGCACTGGGACACTGCATGCCGCAGTGGTTTTCGCACTAAGTGCCTGTGCAGGAGGAGGACAGGCGGCATTTGACAGACCGACCTCACTTCTTGTGGATCTGCTACCGTGCGGACTACGATGCGAACGTGTGGGTCTCAAAGAGGGTTTAGGCTCATGCTCGGGGACTGCAACAGCACTGGCAGAAAACCACTGTCACTTCCGACCACTGACTTTGTTTGCCGCATCCTGCCACTGCTGGCACTTGCTGGCTGTTGAGGTGTAAAAGGAATATACCTACCAGGGTCCTTACATTCCATTCCTATCATATTTCTACTATATGGTAGTTTCCCAAAATTAGGGGACCCCAATATAGACCCCAAAATACTATGATCCTTATCCCCCCAATAAGGTACCCCTAGTTTTGGGAAGCCCCCATATTGTTTGGGATTCCCGTTGTCCTCCCTTTAAGGTCTTCATGAACACTAAACCCTAAACCCTAAACCCTAAACCCTAAACCTTTAAGGTCTTCATGAACAAGGAGGTGCACAAGGAGCACTTGGATCAGCTTGAGTCCAGACTGAACTCCGTGTCGCAAAGCGTGGAGAAATGGGGTGACGAGGTTCCGTGTTTAGGGTTTAGGGTTGTGGGGTTGTCAGATTCCAACCTTACCTTACTGGGGGTTAGAACGGAAGAAGGAAATAGATAATTATATTGGATATTGAGGGGTGATATAGGGATTGTACAGGGAATAGATAGGGTTTATACCCTATTAGGGATGATGTTCGGACTTCTTATGTTTTATATTCCCTTGTTCCCTTCTAACCATCCGACCATCAGTAAAGTTACAGGAGGGTAAGAGCCCTCTACCTGGGTGGCTGATGGGGGCTTTCGTATCATTTAGCGCCAGAACAGAGACTTAAGAACTACTAGGACTCAGTTTAGTGTTGCAACTATCGTGGGTGGCATTCCGTCCTCCCTAAGGAATATCCAAGCAGATTTTTCATAGCTTGCGGAATTTTGCAGGTCACCAACATCACGCAGATTCTGGGCAGCCTGAACGATTCAGTGAAGCGCCTGGAGACCCGGCTGAGCCAGACGCCGCTGTCGCAGGCCAGGTTATCTATACCTTTTGGGGTTGGGCAGAAGAGGGGGCTCGCAAGCAACATCCGAGTTTCCAAGAAATGTTGTTCAATATCTGGGTAACTGTTTTAGTCTACAACTACGTTCTCAGGGAGAATGGGGAATCAAATGGAAAAGAACATGGAAATAAAATGAACACGAAACTGGGGCGTGGCCCAGAGGTAAGGAGGCTTCAACCTCTAGCATCTTCCCAAAACCCTTAAGGCCCCAGAACCTAGATCTTAAACCCTGAACCCCAAACCCTGATCCCTCTGAAGTAGACAGAAACAGCTTTGGGTATATTATAATAAGATCCCACTATACCCCATATTCTATCTACTTAAGGGGGACCATAAGATGGTAATAGTACAAGGAACCTGGGGCTCCGTTTGTATTTTCCTTTTGATTCTCCATTGTCGGGGTAGTATCCCTAA